TTTTCCACGACATTCTAATTTATTGAGATGCACCTGTACATGATATGTGGAATATGCATATTCCTAATGAACTTTGAGTGAAACCTTTTGGGGAAAAAGAGGGAGAGGCAGAGAGGGCAGGAGGAGAAGAGGATCACCAGGAAACAACAGTTATTCTTTTTCCTTTTGGATTTTAAAATTCTTCTACTTAACCATCTCCTCTTCATCTGTCAGTGGTGCTGGTGCAGGTTCTCCCCTCATTTTGCGAGTCTTTGCCTTCTTGCTGTTGACTGAGTAGTCTACAAGTCAGTTGTTAATTTCATTACTCTAATTAAGAAATGTAACGGGTTTGATTAGAGAATATTTAATAAGCCTATGTGAAAAAAGTGTTAAACTATGTGGAAAAAACCTGCTGCGCATTGAAACAGTCACTGAATAAGTTTTCAACGTCATGTAGCCTACACCCATGAATCTGTTATGCTTAAAGTTTTACCTTGATTGAACTGTGTTTTTATAACTAATTTTTAGATGCTGCTACAATCTTCTTTTTTTGCAGGGATACCATGAAAATGAAATTTAGTTAAATAATTTACCGTTTTACCTCTGATATTATAACAGTGATTAAGAATTAAATTTATTTATTGACTCGGAAGTATGCAGATGCTTTTTTGTTGGTGCTGTTGCCATGGTAAATCATAATTTCGGAGCTCCATTGATCATGACTTCTCATATTCGTGGTGCACACGCTAAACTCAGTCAACCTACTCAGAGTCGACTGAACTAGCACAATTTAGCTGTTCTGAAACCGAAAACTCAGAGTTTCCCATCTCAGGGTAAGTCAAAGTCAGAGTTTGAGTTTCAACTTATTGAAACGGGCCCCTGGTATACTGTCTGTAACAGGACTTGTGGTATCGCACCTCCAGAGGCACAGAATCATTGTGCACAATAATGCTATTTGTCTTCTTTCATCTCAGTCTATCACTTTCAGCATCTGGCCTGTAAATAAATAATAATAAAAAAAACCTATAATGAAATTAATTTGTAAATAATAACCATTAAATGAAAAACTGTGTTTGCAGTTAAACAATACTGAGTGTTCTGGCTGTAGCTGTACGCAAAACATCAACATGCAAATCTGACTCTGACTGTACAATAATTATTAAATAAATAGTCTAATTGAAAGGTAGCCATGATACGCAGCATATGGCATACCAGTTCAAACGTGTGTGTGTACTTTGTTTTTACGTACCTGCTGAAAATGTTTCTGCCTGTGAAAGATGGTCCTTCTGGTGGTTGCCTGCCACAGTAATGTACTTGTCCATTTTCTTAAAATGTATGCACGTCTCTGCTATTTTCAGATTTTTATCCTGCAAGCCAAGCCACTGGTTAATGCCGTTTCTTAATGTATCCACCGTGTGCGTGTAAAATCCTTTGTTTTTTCTTTGTTTATGTACGTGAGATTATAAGCGTTGTGAGGCTTATAGCGTTGTTTAAAATAAATTTTACTTAGTTTTGAAGGAGGTCTGGCATAAGTTCCTCTTCTTCACTACTCGGTAGTGACGACAAGGGGCGCAGACATCTTGGACTCATGTTTACATGTCGTTCCGAAAAGCGACCACCTTATGCACGTGACACGAAGCCTCATCACTCACGATCAAAATACGATTACACCAGGAAAGAACTATTGTCGACTTTAAACTCTAATAAAAAATAAACTGCAGAATTACACATAGAGAACTTTTATTTTCTCACTCAAAACCAATAGATATTTTTATTGAAATGAAATTAATGTAGTGCTCCATGTATGGGAACGGGATTAAACTAAAAACAGCTTCACCTTATGGCCTATACAATTATTTGTGGTGTTCCACAGGGCTCCATATTAGGACCAACTTTGTTTCGATTTATGTGTTATCTCTTGGATCTGTAATTTGAAGACAGTAAGTTTGCTGAGTAAGTGCCCATCATATATATCTATCATTAATATTGGCACATGGAAAATTTATTGTATTATTTATGTTAAAAATCACTTTCTACATGCTTAGTATAATTACTCAGTATGTAGAAAGCAATTATATAGTTTGAAATGTAGCATGTGTGATGGTGGTGCTCATGCAGGAGCAGATTGTTTAGTGAGGAACACTTTTAATGGTGAACAATATTTCTCTACAAACTGTTAAATGGTTTGTAAAATGCATTATTTGGTTACTGTTCAGAATCTCAGTGATAAAGGACTAACATCATCACATGATCTGGGTTAATGAGGAATTTTATTTAAAAAAAATTTTTTTTGGTTTAGTCACCGGAAAATGTTAACAGTTGTCACCAGAAAATACAGTGTAATTGCAGAATAATGTTCAGATTATTAGAAAATAGATTACAGTAATCATGTAACAGATAATTCAATGAATACAACACCCAAAGTAAATAAAAGCTTCCTTTAAAACTCTCTCCAAACTGTTAGTTGTGATTTATAAGTGTCATTGTGATCACTGTTAGATTGAATCCCAAGTCAGAAATATTAGATCCACTTTATGCAAATATCAAGCAAAAATTGTGTGCGGCAGCCAATCACTGTGAGGTTCAGGTAGTGATGTCTGTCTTAATCGTTTAAAAATATGCAGAGTTTATGCTGGATTTGGGGAGTAAATCATATTGTTTACACACTGGATGCAATGCAGTTGCCATATACAGTTTGGATACTTTCATTGTGATTATACTGGTAGGGTTTATAAAAGTTTACTAAACTGACAATATATTTATATTGGACATTCAGAAACAAAGCTTTCTTCATTCCAACTGAAATTGCATGTATATGTGTTAATGTATATATATATATATATATATATATATTGGCCATACACTAAATTAAACTAGCGGCACTACAGTTTTGCACCTGCAGTGAACAATCACCGCTAGATTAAACAACAATAGCACGCACTACAAAATAACATATAATATATTAAGTAATATATTAAATGATTAAAATTTATAATAAATTATTATATTATTAAAAGGAATAGCTGAAAGAAAAATGATTAACCTATATGATTACCTGAGTATAAATTAATACATTTCTGGTTTCTCTCTTTTAGCTACTCACAGAGGTTGCTATTAAGAATATGTAGATCCTGCATCAGCATCTCAGGTTTTATCCACTGGAGTGAGAGATTTTACAGTTCATGAACAGCTGATATTGGTGTTTTCCTTAATGCTGGATACATTAGTCCCCTAATATAGTTCAGCTGAAGGAGTGAATGAAAATTAATGAGTGAATTCAGACAATGAGGATTTCTGTGGCTCTAATTAAGTCTGTATGCTTTATATAGAATGCGTGTTTTCAACACAACTTTGTTTCATTCTTGAAGTGAACTTCTGCCTATTTTGGTGATCTGCTCTAGACCAGAGAGAGATTTTCTTAACATCTAAAACAAATGGGAGACAGGCCAGAGAGATGGGTAAACCATCACCTAAAGGCTGGAATACACTACACAACTTTTAAAATCTAAACAGATTTTTAAAACACTAGGTATCATACATTTACCGACTTTGTAAATAGTAAAATAATAGAAAAACTGGCCATCATACACTACATGATTGAGGATCACACACTACCAGACATTTCAGTTGTTTCGATCACAACAAACTCATGAAGAAACATGCGCTTTGTTGCTGAGACGCATGAGAAATGAAAACAACGTGTTGTAAAATCGGCTGAATATATCAAACATGTTTGATATCCTACGACTGGATGGAATCAAAGACTGAAGCAAAAAAATCAGTCTGTAACCATCATACACGCAATTTTCAATGGAATCTGTCAACTCCCGTCTGTAGACTGACTTTCGGCAACTAGAGTTAACTTATCCAGACTGTAAATCGGCGGAAAATTGGGGAAAAAATTGTGTAGTGTGTTCCATGCTTAAGTTGAACGATGCAATGCCTAACCCAACTAAATCTGGATAATTTCTCACCCCTTCAAAAATATACTGAAACTGGGACGCTAGCTGATACAACTCAACATCTGGAACTGCAAGACCTCTTTTATTTCCAGGTTGCATCTTAGTCAGTTTCAGTCTTGGTTTCTCCTGGTTCCAAATAAAAGAGCTAAACCAGCCATTAATACGTTTAATTATAGTGCAATTTAGGAGAATTGGGATCATTTGAAATAAGTGCAAAAAAGCAAGGTTTACCCTGTCTAGAGCCTAATCCTAAGAAACTCTCAGAATGCCATTTGTAACAACTGCTGCTACTGGACTATCGAACATCGTCTTGACTAATTGTGTAAAAGTATCCCCCATCTCGAAAATATTAAATGTATAAAACAAAAACTCCCATTCAGCACAACGAATGCTTTTTCAGCATCTAAAGAAATAACCATACTATTAAGATTTTGATATTGCGATAACGTAATAATATTAAGCAATCTTTTTTAAGTATAAGACTAATATTAGCCTCTCTAAGAGATATAGTTAGAGAATTTAATTCAAAAGAAAAAATTAAACATCTGGAGCAGTGGTTCCAGTAACCAAAGGTTACAATTCTTTATAAAACTCTATGCTAAAATTGTCAGGTCCTGGCACTTTCCCTAAACGTGCAGTTTGCAAAGCCTCCATGAGTTCCTTTTTACCTATAAGCCCATTTAGCCCTTTTCTTTGCACATCACATTTTTGATCAATTAATTTTTTGAAAAAAAA